CCATATTTTACCATCTAATTTGTTGCAGCAGCCAATCTTTTTTTTCAGTGTAAATCTGGAAATAATGTTGGATCATCGAAATAATTATATAAGCGTTGACAACAATGCCGCAAAAAATTTTAACGAGCATCCTACATAAATTATTACGATGAGCCAAACAAAATTATTGACCTATTCACATATTTCTCGTTAATAGTGATAAAACAAGTTAAAATGGCGACGAAAGGTCACTGAATTCCAGAGAGACGCTGTTCCAACTATGCAATTTCTAATAATATAAACGAGCGATAAATAGTTGTTTTTAAAATTGTACATACGAAATCGGACGCGCACATGCGTGACATTTTCGTCCGATTTACAACCGTGCTTGTACACGTGTTTCGTTCTAAGTGCTCGTCGTCGCAATGAGCATCTCGGTGAGTTCGAGACGAGACAACGGCGTCGGCAGCGGCGACATTACGGCGCTGTTATTTCACGGCTGGTTACTAAAAATTATTGCGTAAGAAACGCGCTTTCAACTTTTCTCTCTCTCTTTCTTTTCTACAGTCACGGTCTCGTTCTAAGAGATTACTGCGTAAGGGAACCAAAGGGGTTTCCAGGTCGCGTCACACTTCGCCACAACTACCGCGTTCTCCTCCATTAATCACTCGACGATCTCGCGAGAAAAAGAGAAAAAATAAGAGGGGGAGGAGTGTAGGAGAAAAAAAAAGGAGAGAGAAATAAGCGCTATTTATTTTGCGTCCTGGGACTCAGTCCCTTAACACGCGAGACACATTATTGTATTGTACAAGATTATAATATTGATACAGGAATACATGGCCTAAAAGCTTGATACACCGACAGAAAAGTGCTTGGTACTTGTGAGTATAATTTCATGATAAGACAATTATTGTTAGAAGCTTCAGTTTTATGATTATTACTGCAGTAATGTTAGTAATAATAACAATATATTTTTAGTACTCTTAAACATGAAAAAATTATACTAGAAATTATAGTAACTTTAAATATTTATTACAAATATTAAATATATTTTATACTTACGATTAGTAAAATATCAAGATATAAATGATAAGAAAAATAAACATTTTTATTCAGTGCAACCTAAATGCAATCGTAATTATAGTGAATATAATTGTTTTTCTAAATTCATATCTACTATTTATGAGATTTTCTATGTAACTACAGATTTTCAAGCAATATGTAACTATTATAAATAGCACTATTTGCATGGTTAAAATGACTATAAATATAGTTGTTCCAAAAAAGTAACTATATAAATTATAGTTAAGGAGATTCTTCAGTCATTTGACATAATATAGAAATTTGATCAAATTTTGATAACAAATTTGTTATAAAAATAGAGGCATTCCTAAATTAAAAAAAATTTTTTTTACCATCTGGATCGAAAGTTATTTCAATAAAAAAAGTAATATTTTTTAAATTTGTACTCTAATAGAAATATATGAAAATGTATTACAAAATAATGATAAAAATCTCAATTTTTTATATAAGTACTATATGAATTCAAAAATATTTATTTAAAGTTATATATTAAGATGCAGAGATTAATTGTTCAGTAAATAAACCAAATATTTATTTGTTATAAACTTGGTGAATCTCAATGAAACTTTGCACAAGTCATGCTTAGTACTTAATATATTTATATTAAAAAATTTAGATTTTTATTATTTAAAAAATTTTTGTTTATAACAATAAAACTAATAACAAATAAAATAAATAATCTATAAAAATGTGTTGCTCAATGAAAACAGAATGTTATGAACACAACTTTCATATGTATGTAGTTTGTTTAAAGCGTAAATATTAATATATGTGTTTTATGATTGGAGAACCTCCTTAAATTATAGTAACTGCAATCAGAGTGCAATAATAAAAAAATGAATTTTTAAAAAATTAAAATAAAAAATAAAATAAAAATAACAGTAGAAACATGTTCGTGTAAGAATACAATGTGTGTGTATAGTATGTGTGGAGTATGTGTAAAGAACAAGCTGAGAGAGAGAGAGAGAGAGAGAGAGAGAGAGCGTGCGACGACACCCACCAAAACGCCGGAACCGATTGGCGTCGAGTTGTTCTCAAACGAGAGAGATTATCCCTTCTAAATTCGATTGAGGCAAGATGAATTGGAGTCTAGGTTGCGGTAGCTTCCCACGACTCGATTCAACTTGCCGAACGTCGCGTCTTGTCACCGGTAGCTTTCACTTTCGCCTGTCGCGAAGTTCCTCACAAAATCTCGAACGCGCGCGCGAGAATCCGATCCGCTCGTCCTTGTGTCCTCCACCAAAAGGAATCATTGCCAAACCTTTTAGGGAAATTGAAAGCCCTGATTTATGGAGTACGTTCCTGCAATTTGCAATTGTAAAAGCAATTGATTGGATAATTCGAATCGTTTCTTGCCTGCATTTATCTCTTAGGCTTGCATATAGATACACGGCTCGATCTCGGGAGTTAACCTAATCAGTCTAATTGATTGACTTGACATCCGAGACATTAGTCTCTTGATCTGTGTTTTGTTCCATTCGACGAACATGTTGCATTTCTAAAGTGATCAGACTAGAGATCGAGATTAGGATTATTGGATTGAAATTTAACCAATCAAAGTAAAGTTTACTAATCGTGAGATTGATTTTTTTTCTTTGATTGGTTAAATTCTAATTCAATCTCTAGTATGATCACGGCTTAAGGATGTCAAAATGTGGAAGCCAGATGCCGTCAGTTCTCAGAATGGCGCAGTTTTAGATAGAAAGATAATTTTTTCACAAAGTGTGATATCTACCATATTAGAGAAATTAGGATTCTATACAAAAATCCCATAATATTTTCTCCTTCCGCCTTAGATATTTTAACAAATGCTGTTCCAGTCTATGCTATTTATATTTTTCATGTTATATTTTTCTATTTTCGCAAAAAGTGAACTATGTGAATTTACAGTACCCTTACAATAAAAATGTGCAGTAAATTTACAAACCATGTAACGTTTTGCTGCAATTTCACAATATTTGTAAATTTACAATAGAAATTTGTTGTGAATATGCAAAACTGGCGTGCGTATTAGAGATTTGCACATACTTTATCGCAAAATATTATTGTAATTTCACAATATACCCAGATAGAACACGGAGACATAATTAAGTCATAATGACATCACAGAACGTCATCATGACATCATTTGATACCTAAAAATTGACTTATATAAGTGACGAATGAAGTCATGATAATGTCCTCATGACTTTTGTGTTCTACTTGGGTAACTATTTAAATTTACAGCACATTTTTGTTGGATAAAAACTTCCAACTTTGAAGGTTTACAACAGAAAGGACTATGCCTTAAAAGACCGGTTTTATAGGGAAATTTGGGCCCTGGAAGAACAACTTTGAGACATGCCTAAAATTTTAAGATATCAAAACAAAATAAAAAATTTCATAAGTCTAACTTTATAGAAGAAATTTCCTGAGTGTTATATTGGCCACATTTCAATTAGGCAATTAAAACCTTTTATTTCATACTTTGAGTGAGTCTCTCTCCCCTCTTCATCGATTAATATATATCACTTATAACTATTCATTTGGGGTCCAAAAAAGGTTTTAGTCTTCGTCTAGATTGGACATACTATCTTGATTAAAAAGTTCCCGGAATTCATTCAGAAAATTCAAAATACAAGTTTATTCATCAAAAGTGATATTGTCCCCTTCAAAGTACTCCCCATCGACTGCAACGCACTTATGCCAGCGCTTGATCCAGCTCTCGGAACATTTCTGGAACTCTATTGTCGGTATAGCCATCAGAGCCGTCTTCGATTTTTCCATTACCTCTTAGTAGTGGTTTTTTGACTCGATCGAACAGAAAAAAATCGCAGGGAGCCATATCGGGTGAATTCGATGGCTGTTGGATGGTATTCGTTTCGTTCTTGGTCAAAAAATTTAATACAAACTCGTTGTTGCAAATTCAACTCCATTTTTAAAACTGTAAAAAATCGAAAACCGTGCAGAGGTAGATGTACTCAAGACGGCGTAACTTTTACAAATGTCAAGCTATGGCGATAAAATTTGGTGGAAATGTCAATGATAGATGTGGCAACCTAACCAAAAAAACAGAACTCAAATCAGCTGACTCAGAGCATCACCTGGTGGTAATTCCGGGAACTTTTTGATCAAGGTAGTATTCCAAATACTAGATGATTCGAAAAATCGAATAAAACTAGTCCTAAATGGTACACAATACATGATTATAATAGCGAACTTTGAACAGCTGTAGCACTCAAGGGGACTCATTTTACAAAGTTGTGCATATGGAACTTTTTCTTTTTTGAATTTGAAATAATGTACCAATCTTTGTCTTAAATACATTATTCGTTTGAACAGATAATGTCTACCTTCGGTATTCGCGTGATCAAATTGTACTGCACAAACATAATTGATATAGCATGTAATACTGTTCGTTTAATCCTGTTGTTAGACGTATAAGCCATTGTTTTCGTAATTTCGGCCAAAAAATATAATGGTTATTCTAAGAAGGCAATTATTTACGTGAACCTCTATCATAACTTCTATCAATATATTGTGCCATTTTCAAACAAATAATTTGTTTCATTGTTTGTATACATTGTAACTAAATAATATATTATTTGATCGAAAGACATTACTTCAAATAATAATGTTACTTCTATCAAATAATAGAGATTTCTCGAATGAAACAACAAAATTTTTATTCAAACAAATAATGTTTCGTACAAGCATATGTTGTTACAACAAAACAAATTTTAATCAAATAAATAGGAATACTAAATTCAAAGGAACTTTTTTCTCTGTATGAAAATATATCTTTTAAATGATAAGAGATAAGATGATCATATGCAGAACAAAAATAGTCTGTATCGAGCCCTGCATCTACCTCATGCTATTAATTGCGCATACGCCGTACGCCGTATGTAAAAGAAGTTATACCTACTGTGATCAGACAAGCCAGGTAAGTGTAAATTTACGATTTTATACTTTTTTGCTTTAAACTTTGCTTTCAAATAAAATACTTTTTATCATATTTTCATTTTATTAATTCTAAAATACGTTTTCTCAAAAGATATGTGCATGATTTTTTAAATATTTTTCAGTGATTTCTCTCAAATATATTCATATAAATTTTGACAACATCGGTTTGGGGTTAAAAGTACCGTATCGCTAGTAGAGTACATTGTAACACCATTACAATTAACGGTAAATGTTAAGAAAAGCCCGCTTACTTCAAATTTTGATAAAAATACATTGAATCGATGCGTTTTCGCGTAAAAATAAAGATTTGACAAATGAAAAGAAAAATGTGTCGCTCTGCTTCGTGAACCGAAATATTTTAAGTTAAAATTAACGATTATTCAGGAAATACTGTCAGTCACGAAATACTGCGATACGAGCACGACTGAGGTCACATTTTCATGCTCTATGGCCACGTGCGAATGCATTGTAAGTATTATATTTCTTATTGTAATAGATATTATTCACTGTTTTAGAAACACAAGTTCACTGTTTTGAAACAAATTCTCTGCTCTAAAACACAAATTTACTGTTTTAGAAACAAAAATAATAGATAATTGCTGTTTTAGAACAGATAATTTATTTTTAAAGCATTGAATTTGTGTTTTTAAAGCAGTGAATTTGTGTTTTAGAACAGATAATTTGTTTTTAAAGCAGTGAATTTCGATCTGTTATAGAACAGATAAGTTGTTTTTAGAACATGTTACAACTTTCCTTAGCTCCGTTTTATTTTTCCCCAAATCGGAGCAAGATGTACTAATTCGGATTTTAATATTTTACTCAAAACAGCCTAAAATTATATCTTTTTGCAAATAGTATGATAAATCTAAATAGTCGTTGCGTCATGTGCATTAAAAGAAATAAACATATATGTTAAAAATAAAGAAATATATATATATATTTCTAAAAATTGATACACCGTGTCCCCAGTCTCCCCTACATAAGTTGAAGGAGTTCCTCAAGCAAAGGGTAATTCCTCGAAAAAATCTTTCGTCTTTTGAAAAACTACTTATCGCCAACCAAACCAAATTCTCGCCTTTATTTAAAAATCTTTTCATCAATCTAATCTCTCAAATAGTATAGAGAATAAAAAAATAATTCGTTTAAAATCCCCGAATTATGAAATGTAAGAACAAATATAGAAGAATATCTTGAATTCATAACGATTATTTGTGCTATCTGGGCTAACTTCTTCCTGTTGCTATGAATAACAACATCGACACATTATCATTATATCTAATGTTAAAATACCGATAAACATTGTTACTAAAATACGAAATACCTTTCGATGATGCAGAGAGGGAAAGAAAAAAAAAGAATTTCTTACCCGGGGTCTACGTGACTGGGCGGCAATTCCTGACCGATCGCCGGCAGTATCGATCAAGGTCGCGATGATCAGCCGGCCGAGAATTGTTTATGCGATCTTTTTATATGCGTAAAGGTGGAGTCAGGCCAAACAATGAGCTAAAGTTACTAGATTTATAAGGTATCACAATGGTAAATCCATTTTTTTTCAGCATTTGATGCCAAACTGGCAGATAGTGCACATAATGTACTCTCAGATAGTACAGAGTTCAGAAAGAATTAAAAAAAAATTCAGTTGTATATTCTGAGTTCCTTTTTAGATGCAAAAAACATTCTTTTCAGAATTTTTCAAAAGAATTCTTTTTGCACCTGAAAATGAATTCAGAATTGATAACACGACTGAATTCTTTTTTAACTCTCTGTGCTATCTGGACTATACAACATGAAATGTTTCAAAAATATTTCATCGCAAGATTTGAAATATTTCAGAAATTTTTCATAAAATATTTCTAAAATATTTCACGTTATGGCTATATTTCAGCTACACATTAAGTGTAGCTATTTTAATCTGTGCGAAATTGTCCATACATTTTTTGTTGAAACTAAACATTTACGCCAAATAAATCCATATTAGACCAAATATTATACAATAAATTAAACATTCGTACATATTTCATTATTTATAAATAAACTGATTATAAAAAATTGATATTTTCCAATTATATTTTCCCTCACAAAATACATTTATACAACTACGTAAGTTTGGAATGGCCACGTCTTGAAATCTGTTTTCTGTGGCTAAACTAGTATACACTTTTGAAGCTTACAGTGAAATAGGTATACGTTTGATATTTGATGAAAAAGAGAAAGGAATTCTAATGCAAAAATAAAAGATGGTACTTCATAAATTTAGTGACTTTGCAACGAGCGCAAATGAACGCAAATGAACAACTTACTTCGATGAGGACAGTGCCAGACTGTCCTGCGATATCTTTCTCACCGAAGCATCTCCCTGAAGCAAGTTGTTCGTTCATGTTTGTTCGCGTTTGTTCGTTTGATTTGTGACTCTAATTGATCAGAAAAAACCTTCCCTCTATTCATCACTGTCATCATTAATATAAATATTTATAATCGTTTATCCTTGACAGTTTGATCTAAATTCATTTTAAAGGTCATCACCCATGCTAACAAAAGAAAATTCGTTCGTTTATGTTTGTTCTTGTGCTTGTTCATTTGTGCTTGTTCAATCGCTTTATCGAGATCCGGTTATAAATGGCGTACGTGCGAATTTGCACGTTCCCTCTGCGATCCACTGCTATTTATGGCTGCGAATTATTTTTTCGATGGTACCGGTTGATTGTATCCTTGATTTGACATAAAAAATATCCCCACATGGAGGAAAGTCACAACGATACCGGTTGTCCTCTCAGTCGGTCGAAGATGACGTTGAAGTCTTACAATTTGAAAAATTCACAATAAAAGACTCCTTTACTTGTAACTTACGAATAGAAATTGAGAGAAGGTAAGAAGTATCGAAGTCTGAATGAAGAATAGAGACAGACTAGAAGTTCACGAGAATTCAGAACAGTATATACACAGGATACTAACAATAAGTACTCTGAAAGATTTTAAGAGATGATTTCTCACATAAATTCAAAACGAAAACTTCATATATCTGTAACGGTTTAATTTCAAAGATACAGGGTATCAAAGTTGAAGGAAAAATTTCGTTTCTTCCAAAAATGTCAAAAATCACTCAAGTTATTTTGATGAAACTTTAAACATACACAAAGTGATATTGGAAATTTTTGGAAGAACCGAAATTTTTCCTTCAACTTTGACTCCCTGTATCTCTGAAACTAAGCAATTTCGTCTTGAATTTGTGTGGGAAATCATCCTTTAAAATCTTTTAGAAAGTACTTGCAATTAGTGTCTATCCTATATGCCAATTACTCATCGAGCATTCATTTCAATTAATCAATTAATTAAATTGATTGAATAAACTCAATTTGACAGTTACCTAATATTCCTTGACGCTTCAATGTTTTCGTAAAAAAATTATCGAAGAAACAAGTACGAAGAAACACATCCGGAAAAAATGCTGTATTAACAGCATTAGTCGACAGCAATCTATAAATAATCTTATTAATTCAATCACAATAATAATGAAACAAATATGTCATGCTTTAATACATGTTATTTGTTTAATTAAAAAACTGTGGCACACAAGAAACGTAAGGCAGTATGACGTAAATTCAACAGTAGCAAATCCAACATACTGATTTGCTTATTGCTTACAGTTTTTGTATGCTATAGCATTTATACTGTCATTGAATGAACAAAATTGTTTCCAATTAAACTGTTATTGGCTAATACTCTTAATGCAACATTATTTTTTCCGGTTTTGCTCAAGTAAACATTTAGGTAAACATAGATCTGAAAATCATTTTTTTCAACCATCGAAATATTGATGTAGGACGCTGAAACTGATTTATTGCATTGAAAAGAATACTAAATTTTAATAAATATTTGTTCCAATAGTTCTAAATAAATATGGAGAGACTGGGGGACAGTTGTACCAATTTTTAGAAATATACATATATTTCTTTTTTTATTTATAACATATACGTTTATTTCTTTTAATGTACATGACAACAACTATTTAGATTTATCATACTATTTGCAAAAAGGTGTAATTTTAAGCTGTTTACGAGTAAAATATCAAAATCCGAATTAGTACATCTTACTCCGATTTGGGGCAAAATGAAACAGAGCTAGAGAAAGTTGTAACATGTTCTAAAAACAACCCGTGTAGAAAATTGTTAGGGGGCTTAAAAAAGGACCTGATTAGTATGCCCTAAAATTAATCGGGCCCTATTAGGGTAGATAACTTGGGCCCTACATGGCCCTACATGGTAAGAAATTGTTTACCAGGTCCCTATAAGAAAAAATTATCGGGGACCTATAAGGAAAAATTATCAGGGCCCTATAAGGAAAAATTATCAGGGCCTTATAAGGAAATATTAGGACCTTACAAGAAAATCTCATCGGGCCCTATTGTTGCTATATCTATAAAATAAAAAACACTTTCCGCTGAACGTGAAAATTAATTTTATGGTATTTTGAAACGGTCACCCATCCGAATGCTAATCGCGTTGCTTGACCTCTGTAATCATACGGAAACTGCTACTTCGATGATCCACGAATATTAAATGTTAATAAATTGTATAATTGTGACATATCTGTCAATATAATCCTGATAGAAATTTGTGCAATTTAACTGAACATCCAGTCAGTTACTATTATATTTGCTATCGAATACTATATATTAATTCCTCTTGATATACGAAAATAATATATATGTAACTGAGCACAATTAGTTAGATAATTATTCAATTTAATATCCTCAACGCCAATAATTAAAATTATGTTCAGTAGACACGTTTTTTACAAAATGAAAAAATTTGGTAGAAA